ACTGAAAGATACTGAGCTGCAACGGATTCATCTAATAAACGCATAACGTTGTTCAGTATAGAACACGATGAATATATAGAAAACGAATCGTCGTTTGAGTTCAATCCAGTTAGCATGGCTAGTTTAGAAGTCTAACTTTAAGCCAATTTACACTCCTCGTTTAACTTTTTTGTGCAGTACATGCGATGCCATGCACTCTGATTCACCTCGTTACGACTACGCTCTGGGCTTCTCGCTTTGAATCAACGTTTATCTAACTTGCGGATCAATGTTTCAGAAGCTCACTGTAATTTGCTGTGATCTTTGGAAGTCGATTTGAAACCTACGATGGCGGATATTAGGCCTAATCACACGATTTACATCAACAACCTAAATGAAAAGATCAAAAAAGAAGGCACGTATTAAGCATAAATACGGTTTTTTGCTATGTGATTCGCGATTTCAGACTAAAAGTGTGGAATTTTGGAGTGTCGGTTAATAGTTGTCTAATGATATTTCACGTCTGTACTCTAGTATTTATATGATTGTTTCCTCTCGTATGTTAAAATGTTTGCTTTAGAGCTGAAGAAGTCGTTATACGCGATTTTCTCGCAGTTCGGCGCCATTGTGGACATCGTGGCCTTAAAGACGCTCAAAATGCGCGGCCAGGCTTTCGTCATCTTCAAAGACATAAACAGTGCGACAAATGCGCTGAGGGCAATGCAGGGCTTCCCGTTTTACGACAAACCGATGGTAAGCACTGATTAACCATTGGATCGGTTTTTCCCTCGCGGTCGTGACTCGGGTTTCGAACGTTTCAGAGAATTCAGTACGCGAAGACCGATTCGGATGCGATTGCCAAAATGAAGGGCACCTACGTTGAACGTCCGAAAAAAATCATCAAGAAGACGAACGAGATTCCGGGCGAATCGCGCAAGGAGAGAAAGCGTCGTCTAGCCGCCGAGAAGGCCCGTCTCCGAGAACTTGAAGGAGGTACAGGCGGTTCGGACGTTGACCAGCCACCGAACAAGATCTTGTTCTGTACGAATCTGCCGGAAGAAACCACAGAGCAGATGTTACAGATGCTGTTCAACCAGTAAGAACAGTTTGTTTTCTTTAAGGGGTTTTCGTAATTGCTCAAGAATCAAAGATTAACGTACTGTGAAGTTATTAACTCGTATGCCGGTTGACACTGCACGGTAACTTGAGGGAAACGTTTTGGAACGAACTTCCTTAAATAATCCTAAAAAGCATGGCGAAATCATTTCGTGATGCTTTTCATGATGGAGATTCATGAATTAAATTTAAGAAAGTTAGGATAATTAAGACAATGCTTGACTACCATATAATGAAATAGACTGAAACTAACATCTTCATCATCAGTTAAATTGTCAGGTCTTAGAAACTTTCTTAGTTAGACTATCGAAGAGCTTGCATAATTAATGATGATCATCTCTAAACAATGACGATATTTGTGATTTATTCCATTCATTTATTCATTCGTTCATTCAGTGGGCTTTTGTGTTATCTGTTAAAAATATCGAATGCTTTTAACAGAGAGATGTAACCATAGATTAAAATGTGCCGTCTTTTGTTCAAAGGTATGAGAACACGTCAGGCACAACACTACTACGCTGTATCACTTTTGATTCAGGCTTGCCTGAAACAAGGACTTTACTCTAGAACTATAGCTCTTTCTTCACAGAATCTGATTCGTGGTTACAGTATGACATCTACATAATATTCCTCTTTCTATGCTATCTGTATCTTAGTGTTATCCTTCCATCTTCTGGATTATAATGCATAACATAGCATCTGTTCGAAACGTCGTCTTCTCAGTGTCGTAATGTTTTCAATTCATATCTTCATTGCGCCTATGGCCGTCGAATCAGAAAATTCTTTTGGGATGTTGACACTGAATCAGAATGAATTTTTCAAGTTGACCCGGTTTGAAGTGTATTTTTTCAGCAGCCAAGTGCCTCTTCTTGTTTGTTGTAAGTTCCTTCATCCTCTTTAAAAAAATGAAGGCTAAATGGACTAGACTGAAAGGCGATGCGATACGGGCATGGTATCTTTGCGATGAAAGTCGGTCTTATAAGTCCCTTCTCCTGAACACATGAGTCAATCGTCGCCGCTACTATGAATCCTCGGTCGAGAAATGGAGTGACCTCAGAAGCGAAAGCATGTTAGATTCTTGTAGTCGAATTCGTGCCAAGTATCATCACACCAGCAACCTCTTGAAAAGCTTCATCTCTGCAATAGCTTGTATTCGATACCCTCTGCTTATCTTTGCATAACAAAACAGGGTATGTCACGAGTAATTTTGATGTATGTAAGACATTTAATGCAATTCACCGTCTGTTTTTCATCTCTCTTATAAAATTTCTAATGTTTCTATTATAGAAATCCTTCCGATTATCTGAAGCGGGGTGGGGGCTCTTTACTACGGTCTTTTGAACTATATTCCACCTGCAGTCATTATACCAGAGACCTCCTTGTTGTTTTCACTGAATGAATATAAACTTCCAAAAACAAAAAGTATAGATAATTACTCCATTGGAACCTTAAGGCTAATGAACATTATTGTATTTCCTGAAGATTGATTTATTTTATTGACTAGTAATCCTCCTTTGTCCTAGAAACATTCTCAAGAAATTTTCATATTGATAGCCGCTTTCATAACCTACGCTTTTTCCCTATCGTTTTAAATTACTCTCTTGCGCACATTCTGATCATTAGTCATCCTCTGTTTAGAGAAAGACGACATAGTATGCCATCTTTTTACTGCAAATGTTGTGCTGTTCTTATGTGTAAAATCGTTCTTCCAGTCATAATTACCATAGACGTTGTCCCCAATCCTACTCTCTGTTTTATGCATTGCGATTAATGAATCTTGTTCTTGTCATGTTTTCTGTATAAGTGCCAACGTTTGGACTAACTGATCACTCTCAATCTGTTATCCTGATGCATAACATCATTTACTCCTGTCATCCTGACGTACTGCTTCAATCTGTGCTAAATTCCTGACGCTGTCTTTGCAAGTACTTTAGCGACTAAGTGACTAGATGGTCTCTTCTGGAAAATTACTTTCCACCATCAAGATATTTATAACGACTGCAGTAGCATATCATGCCACACGTTCAGCAATGGCATTAAGACTATCTCAGCTGCCTGTGATGTATCCTTTTTATGATTTCCTCTTAGTTTCTGGCTGTTTACAGGGTCATACATGACATTAATTCAAATGCTGAATATATTCGGTTATGCGTCACTAATCTTGACAATTGAAAATTCTTCTTAAGATTAATTCCATGGTCTTTATGTTTTTTACAGGATTGTACAGCATAAAGATTTAATTACAAAAATTACTGACCGTTCTAGCCAGAGTTGGTTTGTTGTCTAAGTAAGCGATAAAGGCGGATTTAAGAAAGTGCTATCGTGTAGGTCAAATTTACCCCCATAAGGGTTCCTTGCAGGGATTCGGATTGACATCCATTTACCAATTGGTAGATAATATCTAGACATTGCTCAGATCCATGCTATTGTCCTTCTGCAAACATCTGTTGGCCTAAACGAACAGAGCTTCTTTAATCTTTGAAAATTTAAAGTTGTTTCCAGCACAAATTCGCAAGTAGGTTTCATGCTTGGCTGCGCAGTGCTGAATAATAGTAGAGTTATTTACGCATTGTGATTTAATAATTATTTGGCTTCATCAATCGTCAGAATTATTGGCCACAAGATAGAGTTGGAACCCTGCTTTATTATGCCACAAAAAAGTTGGTCTTTCCTACGGTCAGAAGATTTAAATGTCTTAAATCTTTAATATGATAGCAGATTTGAATTCACAAGTACGAGTTAGAGCTATATACAAAAGGCCTCTAAAGTTGATGACACCCTGCAAACAGACCAGAGCGACTAATAATTTTAGTTAGCTGTTTTATGCAGTTATATTTTCTTCCTTATGAGTATTTTGACGAAGAAAATAACCTGCAAAGTTCATTCCTTTTTTGAAATCGACTCATCCTGTACATTTGCGAGTACGTTAAATTGCCAGCGATACCGTAGCTGCTCACAGATAAATACACTCATACCTTAATCATATTTCAAACATGTTCCGGTAATTTTTTATAATTTTTATTCACTCATAGTTTGATGAAATCTCTGATTTCAGATTTCCCGGGTTCAAGGAAGTTCGTCTCGTTCCGGGTCGTCATGACATAGCGTTTGTCGAGTTTGAAACCGAATATCAGGCGACCACCTCGAAGGACGCGCTTCAAAATTTCAAAATCACTCCGAATCACGCCATGAAAATAGCTTTCGCTAAAAAATAAGATTTTTTGAGTTCCGGACGACATGGACACCGGGCTTCGTCAAACAAATGCGTGTCTTGTTTGATTGTACCATATGATCGGTCTCTTGTAAATGTTATACATTCGTCTGGTTGTTGTTTTTCATTTGCGAGTTACATGCTATGTTCAGTGTTGGTCGAGGCGAATTACGGCCGCAGAGCGCACACGTCAGACTATCCATATATTTTAGAAGCTCTGATATTAAGGCACCGTTCCCTCTACGTTATTCGCAGGTGAAGCACATGCTACCCGTTCTCCAGCTAGTTGAACCGAAGAAATCAGCAGCTAATTAAAAGTTTACGCCGTGCCGGGATTGCATTCAGTTTCTCTAAAGTGGGAAGCAGAAGCTCGTTTCTGATGTCACTTTGCTGTTAAAATCGAATGTCACCGATGGTTCGACAGGCGCAACTCACTGCGATTTCAGTTATCACATTAATTCACATAGCTTGGCATAGCTTCGGCTAGCAGTTACAGTTATGGACAGTGACATCGTTAATACTTCGTAAAAATGCACGTGAATACTGCAGTGTCGGAAAAGACTCGCTTGACAGGCTCACAGTCCTGCTCACTCCTCACATCTAATTGTTTTCTCATAGTGCTGCTTCACTTCTCGGTAGGCCGTAGGGAAGTCAATGATAAAGACACTTAAATCGCAAGAATGATGCTGAGACAACTATTCAGAGGCAACGGGTGCTGACGACCTCCGAAAATAGTTTTACAATGGCTTGATCGCTTTAATTCATTGTTAACGATTAAGAGATGTTTTGAATCGACTTGAATGTATACATTTAATCGAGATTTATTTCTATCAGTATTATGAGCATGATTTAACAATATTTGTATGTTCCATTCGTCTACACGAAGTTACATTTTCTACGAACTCGGGTGTGAGGAATTAATTAGGCAGTGAATATCGGAGCCCTTCCTCCATAAATACAATTCGTAACTCGAAACGCTCTCGGCGATCGCTTAGCAATGAAATAGAGAGATTACTAGCCATCGATCGTCAAAGTTTACTGCCATCATCAGTGAAAGGAACTGGCCGGATAAACCTTGCACGATGTTAATCGCGGCAAAGTAAACGAAATTGTGCGCAGGATTTGCTATGAGGCTCGAACGCACTCCAAAACCATTATCTTGAATCTGAACAAGGTAGGCCTGTGAGAAACGAGCCAAAACTTCAGTAGAGATCGAATATGTGATAGACAATTCTTCGCCGCGTTGTGCTTATTATTCTGTGCCCTTGTGAAATGCACCTACTTTATTCCGGGAATTATGACCTACTTTTCTTGTTGGCACAGGTCGAGTATTAATATTAACGATGAACAATTTATTCGATATTATCGACGATTAATTATGTGGCCACCAATAAAACACCTAGATCAACGCGCTAGCCAGTGGTCAGATGTCTACACTTCTTGCTGATTTACAAATGGAATAGGGAGGTGAAGCTTTTCAGGAGAAAGGACAGTTGAAACAATTCCGATCCATCATCTACAGCGATGGCATTATGTAACTAGATTTAAATACGAAGATCGCGACTGCCTTTGGAAAGCTATCCAATATGCACCCTGAGAAATGAGTTGCTTTACCTATGAAAATCCGCTTGTACCTTACCTCTGCCAGGCAGTAAGTTTGTAGGGCACGGAAACAGCTATTCTGAATACGGAGCCATAACAGCGGTTAAACTGCGTACAATCGTTGGTTTCGAATGACTATTCTCAGCATGCTTGGGTGACTGCAGTATTTGTGGAGTTTAAGACAAGTAGGTTGACCTTGTCAGATATACTGACTGAGCATACACCGCTTTACATTCAGCTTCCCGTGGGAGAGCGAAACACAGCAAACGTCGACCAGAAGGCTAGCATACAACATTGTGGAACAAGATAGATACCGGCAGATCTGCTTTCGGAGAGGAATAGTCCCTTCCGCGATGCAGTAACGCCAATGCCTTGCAGTGAAAGTGTTGAAAAGCTGCGGATAAACCGAACGTCACAAACCAGAGACGATTTGCTTATGCAAACGGCTCGAGGTAAAGATCACAACAAACAACATCAACGTTTCGCGATGTGTAACCGTCTCATTATAGATATAGCTTCTTCAAAGAAATGATTCATGCCATAAGTTAATTAATAATTAATTTTCGATTATTACCTACAGGAGGATAAGTGCACCTTCTCTACGAACATGTGACATCCGTTGTGTTGGTCAAGAGAGATGCCGTTTAACTGAGAGTTTAAGATTTGCTTAGAGATAAAAACGCACGAGTTCTATCTGAACTGTGGTAGGACAAACTAAAACAGAGGATTAGTCTCAGTCGCGGAGAATGCCAGAACTGTTCTCCAGCGCTCTATGTTTCTAGTCCTGAAATGACCTCAGATCCCTCTCAATGATCTTGATCAGAAGGTCATGACTACAGTGACGAATTTTCATAGTCACTGTCCCTTAACATCACTTACGACATAGGAAGCACGGCAACCGCGGTCTGCTAAACTTTGCTGATCTCTGCAAAGAAGAAACGACCTTTCGCA